ATATATATATATATATATATAGTTTTCTTAAAGAGTAGTAGTATAACTAGTAAGTGTAGCAAAGGTCACTGCATGCATGCGCTTGTGCTCAGTAACAAAAAATTCTCGACAATTACTGAGGGATGAAGATAGGGAGCGGTTTGCTACCGAGCACTTGCAGGGTGTGATAAATAGGTGTGGACGAGTTTGCTTTGTGGTAAATTAATAAGATGGTTACCTAATGTGATGAAGCATGTGAATTTTTTTCTTATGGTTGAAAAAAGTTGTTGTCCATAATAGTCTTATTCTTACTCATCATTCTAGACATAATTATAGTTCTTGCAGATCAGGTGTTATTTATCTGTGATCTCTATCAAAAATGTTTTTTTTTTTTTTCTCATAGCAGCAGAACAGGTGTTATTAGTCATGTTGAAGCTTTTGCATACCTTATCAATGGAGAAACTTTATCCGCTTCAATGCTATAATTAAGGTAATCCTATATCAAGGACTTCAGAGTTGTTGAAATCTTTTGACACTTATGTGTGATAACAATTTCCTACTATGGATTGTCATTCTCAGCTAGACTATTAGATGATATTTTTTTTCTTCCACAGTAGCGGGAAGGGGAATAAAAATTAAAAATTTAACCATTTCAAGAATATAAAAATTATTAAATATTTATTTTTCAGACATAGATATATTTTTAGTCCTTACTAAATGAGTAAGTTTTAATTTTAGTCACTCTAAATTTTTTTCTTTATTTTATTTATTTTACTATATAATTATTTTTAACTATTTATTTATTCATTAAAAGAATAATCGATCATTTAGTGATATCATATTATTAATGCGTGTTATTTCTAAAAAGTTTCATAGATTTTTAATAGGGTTAGCTCAATACATTGTTAGGTTTAAAGCAAATATTAAAGTTATATTTTTTTAAAATTAATAATATTAAAAAAAATATATATATATTTTAGATATGAAACTTGAACAAGATAATTATATTTTTGTATATTTTTAGAAATAGAACTTTTAGAATGACATTTTAAGAATAAAAAAATGACTTTAATTTGAATTATATATATATAAAGTTTGAAAATTTATATAAATATTAATATAAAATAATTATTTTTGAATAAGACTTAAAGTAAAAGTCTTATTGACCTCATGCTTGAGTCAACTCTATTTTTAAAATAAATGTTATTTATATACTTTAAAAGTATTGTTAGAGATAAAAAAAAATAGTAATTTTAGATGAAAATTAAATAAAAATAATTTTAGAAGATCAAAACCAAAATCTATTCATTAATAAGGATAAAAATATTTAATAAAAATAAAAAATAATATTTATAAATTTTAAAATAATAAAAAATAATAATAATAAATTATAAAAACCAAAATCAAATCTCGTTCATTTTACCATAATTAAAAATATATTTAAATTTTTTTTAAGTAGTTAAAAATGTTCAATATATATTTAATGTTTGTTAACTTATGTATCAAATGCATACAGTTAAAAAATCATTATCCTAAAAACATTATTAATTAAAAAATAAAAAAAATGAAATTTTTTATTTGAGAATACGTTATTTAATCATTGTAACATTAAATGTTACCTTCACTGTCAAAAAAAGAGATCAAACATATATATAGACAATGTCTTTCTGCACTAATAGATATTAAATTATATATAACTCCAAGCGTCTGGTTCAGCGGTAAGGGTTGATCCACGCTTAAGCAATGTCAGGGGTTCAAATTATGTCTTGTGTATGCAGTCGCGTTAAATCTTGGGGTCAGCTATCCCACCGTTTGAAGTGTCTCCCTCATAACAAGGAGATTAATCACCGTTATTGGCGGTAGATACTCCATGGACAAACAAAAAAAAAATAATTAAATTATATATATAGAGAGGGTTATTAGAAGAGTTAATCACCTATATACTATTAGTAAAAAGTTTTTTTACATTAACAACTAATTATATTTTTTAATAGTGTCATGTTATTTGTTTATTTAATGAAATAAAAATAAAATAAAATAATTTAAAAGATATAATTGGTTGCCAGTGTAAAAAAATTTACACTAGTAGTGTATGGATGATTAACTCTTATAAAAATACCCAATATAACTTTTACTAAGTATTACAGGTTAGGCATCAAATTTTAACGATAAAGTCGTTGAATTAAAAGTTTTTAATATATAGAATATTTTATTAATTCAAATCAATACATAAAATATTTTTATGATTATCTATCAATTTAAATTAATGAAACGAAATATTAAATAATTTTTAATTTTTCTTAAAAGTTTATAGAGTTGATATATGTATTAAGAACTTCTAATTTAATGATTAAGTCATTAAAATTTGAAGTAAAACATAAATTATTAAGTGAAATAATTTTAAGTAAACTTACTCTTAAAATAAGTGCATCTCTCCTTTATCTATATATGAGGAGAGATTAAATTATTCCAAAATTAATTCTTGGTAAAGTTACTTATGGTGTATATTGAATTTTAATGATTTAACCGTTAAATTAAAAAATTTTAATACATATTTATACATTAAGTCTACAAATTTTTAATTAATTAAAAATATTATATGATACTTTGTTATATAGATTCAAATTGGTGTATAATTTTTCTATAATTATCCGTAAATTTAAATTAATATATATATATATATATATATGTGTGTTTAATATTGATTATAAATAATATATATTATACTAATAATGATTTTTTTTTTATGTTTGTGTAGATCATCGGTATACATAATACTAATACAGTAAATACTACTATAATTAATGCATCATAATAACATGAAGCATGGAGATCAATTCACATATTTACGAATGGATGTAGCTCATTTTTGGTTCAACATGGTGCGTAGATGTTGTAAATATCTTAATACCAAATCCATTTCCCATAAATACAACAAAATATCGACTTACAAAACATTATTTGAGATAATTAGTGATAACAAATTTAAATCTTTGATATATAAATGTGTTAAATATCATAATTAACACATTAGACTTAAACAAATTTTTTTTTTTAAAGATGCTCCCTTAAAATAAAAACCGCAATGTTTATATCAATCATTTAATTTGTGTTAAATAGAGGATATTATAACATTTTCTTTTTGTTACTACTTTATATTTATAATGAAAAAAAAATTCTCTTAATTCTTAAACCAACATTTTTAGACAATGGTTGAAAAAAAAGTTTAAAACACACAATTAGCATAAAGCATATGCAAAATGTGAGAACAAAGGCGGCTAGGTACATGGGGCGTTTACCAAAGTGCAAAACGTTTAATAATTTTATATAAATTCTACTGTATCTGCATATTTTAAAGGCTATATTCTTTTAAAAATAATAATAATAAATGATAAACACATAATAGTATGAAATTTATTAATGCATGTCATTGTATTTCGGTAACGTTTTGGTTTCAGTTTGCTTATAGTGTCCCCAGTCAGTATTCACGAAAAGGAAAAGATGATACAGAGAATCATTTATAATTATTATGAAGCAAAAGGTAGTACCATCCTCATCTGTAAAGGATTTTCACAATCCTTGCTTCTTTTACGAACATGATTATCAATTGACCCCTCGTGTAAGGAACAAGAAAAACTGCCTATATACAAATGATCTGTAGTCTAAATCCTTCCTTTAACCTATAAAAAATTCCAGAGAGGGACTAAGGAAAAAAGAAAATGCTGAAAAACTTACAAGTCTAGTTAACTAGATTGCATTTTTTTGGATGATGTACTAAGAAAAGCGTCCAAAATGGTGTTTAATTACGCAAGTGTGTTTGAGAAAGATATCTATTGTGTTGTGTTATAAGAGCCTCTTTTTTCTCACAGAAGACATATACGGTGATACATAATACACGTGAGGAAGAGAGAAAAAGGGAGAGTAAAAGAAAAGGGTTTGGGATTTGGATTCTTTTGAGGTAGGATTGACCAAAGCAAAAAAGTAGTAGGGAAAATGGGAGGGTTGTGTTTGGTTTTTGAAGATAAGGGACCTCCACCATGCTTTGTCGGGTAAAACGTTAAGAGGTAGAAAGAGATCACAACAACCACAATCTTTAACTGCACCAATTTCATTAGCTAACAGTCTAACACTACCATTTCGCTTTCATACTCAAAAGTGCCACTCCCTCTCTCTCTCTCTTAAGCCATTAGCTACCAACTAAGTTAACCAAAATTAATCCTGTTTATATATGTCATCATCCTGAGCTTTCAAATAATTAACGTGATTCTTCTTTCATCCAATAATCTTGTCCCTTAGCGAACCAATATCAAGAATAACATGCCTATATTTGATCCTTGAGAAGATTAATTGTATAATATCAACAACAGCTGGTTTATCATAGAAATACTTTAATATCATTCATTAATATTTGTGGGCAGGGTACTTAAATACACTGTAGATCACATATTATGTTGGAGATCTTACGTTATGATCAAAATGGTGTATAAGTGTCTAACAAACCTCTTGTTATAAGCAGTTATTGGATTTCATCAATTAGATGTAAATCCACATTTTAAGATTATATCAATGTAGTTGTAGCTTGATTACATATATGGAAATAGCTATGTATGTCTTGGGGGTATTACCAGGGGTTTGGATCTTCTCATATTTAATGAAATCTTTACTCTTAATTAAAAATATAATAAATCTTATGATTTTGATGGTAGAAATTTTCACTAATCAAGATAATCAAAGTGAAAATCTCACTTTTTTCAAAAGTATGACCTTTTTTTTTCTGGTTTAAACAAATGGTGTTGTGTTGGTAAATAAATAACATTTTGAGTAGGAGATTATGATTCTTTGTATCAAGTATAATTCTTTTTGCTGATAATAAAATATCTTTCATTAATATTAAAAATATTTCAACGAAATAGAAACAATGCTATTAATGTAAAAGTGAGTTTATAAAATGTTTGCCAAAAGAGCAACAAACACTTCCCTTTTCTGAATATTTAATGAAAAGAAC